CACTCAGTAAGTCATTTGGTCAGTCAAGTCACTCAGTAAGTCATTCAGTCAGTCAAGTCACTCAGTAAGTCATTCAGTCAGTCAAGTCACTCAGTAAGTCATTCAGTCAGTCAAGTCACTCAGTAAGTCATTCAGTCAGTCAAGTCACTCAGTAAGTCATTCAGTCAGTCAAGTCACTGAATGACTTGATTGACTTACTGGCTTGACTGACTTACTGACTTAACTGACTTACTGACTTACTGACTTGACTGACTGAATGACTTACTGAGTGACTTGACTGACTTACTGAATGACTTGACTGACTTACTGAGTGACTTGACTGACTTACTGAGTGACTTGACTAACTTACTGAGTGACTTGACTGACTGACTGACTGAACTGACTTACTGAGTGACTTGATTGACTTACTGAGTGACTTGACTGATTTACTGAGTAACTTGACTAACTGATTGAATGACTTATTGAGTGACTTGACTGACTTATTCAGTAAGTCAGTCAGTCTTACAAACTCATGTTTACCTCTTTTTCTGTGTACAAAGTAACACTTCATTATGGCCACAGGTTATCTCTTGTCTAATATCTTTGTTTTACCTCTTAGTGCCACTTTCAATAACACTGGTATGGCTAGTGGGTGTTATAACTGCTTGGCAGATACAAGATATAGTAATTAAAATATCATAACACAATTCACAAACACAGCTGCCTTGTAGCACAGAAAGACTGGACTGGACACGTATGAATTACGAACGCTAGGATGGTGGGGTGGTGTCAGGGAGTGGTAGGGGATGGCAGGAGGGCTCCCCGGCTGCTCGAACAAGGCGGCTGCTTGAGCAAAAGAGATTTTTTTTTTTCCTTTCCACAAACTGAACTGTGTTAAATTAATTATACGACATGTTATATAAAATTGTGCCGCAATTCTTCACTCGTGCAATACCCAAATCGTGCCAAATAAACTCGTGCTAAATGATGGCCTACTGTGTTCTTGGCCCACTTTTCTTTCTCATTTACATCAACAACCTACCAAATGCATCTCAACTACTCAAACCCATATTATTTGCAGACGACACTACAGACGTCTTCTCTTCTCTCACCCAAGCCCAGTCATACTAGCCAACACTGTAAATGCTGAATTACAGAAAATGTCCACCTGGATGATGACTAACAAGCTTATTTTCAATATTGACAAAACCTGTTTCATTTAGTCTGGAAACAGAGCTACAAACGTTCCACTGAACATATTGGCAAACGGATCACCTGTCACAAGACTCACAGAGGAAAAATTCTTAGGAATCCACCTTGACAGTAGCCTCAAATTTCAGACACACGTACAACAAATTTCCAAGGAAATCTCTAAGACCATAGGCATACTATCAAAGACATGGTACTATGTTCCACAACCAGCTCTCCTTGCTCTGTATCACTCACTCATTTACCCGTATCTCACCTATGGAATTTGTGCATGGGGTTCAGCAACAATAAATCACCTCAGACCATCAATAACCCAGCAAAAGGCTGCAGTCAGAATGATAACAAATTCCCACTCCAGACAGCATACTCCACCAATATTCAAAAGTCTAAACTTACTCATCATAAAGAACATTCATACTTATTATTGTGCCTACTACATATACAGGTCTCCCTCAACATTCACATTTTCAACTTTCACGGGCTTCACACATTTGCGAATTCCCAACCGCCAAATTCCCAGCCACCAAATTCCCAACCGCCAAATTCCCAGCCACCAAATTCCCAGCCGCCAAATCATATTTAAGTTTCCCGCCACCTGTGAGTCCCTACTACCCTCCCTCCGATCCCCGCAACTGGCAGCCAGCCCTCCCACCACTCAGTGTGGTGAGTGTTTTGTTTGTTCATTATTTGCTATTAAACTACAGTATAAATAATGTAAACCCATTCATGACTGCATATTGGAATGGCTATTCGGACAGGTATTAGACGGTGACATCATGTGTTTACTCTTGAACACTGCAAAGAATTAAACATTTCTGCTACAGCTAATAATAACAATAGTAATAATAATAATAATAATAATAATAATAATAATAATAAATGATATAATTGAAGAAGGAAATTGTACAAAAATACGAGGGAGTGGTTGACACATCGTCAGTGTGACTTTGTTTATGCTGGAGTGAACATTAGTCTCCCTGCTCTTCCAAACATTCCACAATAATTCATTGTGTTTGGTGCTTGTAGACTGAGTGTGACTGGAGTGGTAGAGGCAGTGATTGAAGCAATGGTATTTAATAACATACATGTTAATAATAATAATGTACCTCTATATGTATGCTCAAATTGTAAATAAATAAATAAAAAATAAATAAATAAATAAATACATGTTATTAATAATATGTACTATTATTATTTATAACATATATGTTATTAAATACATACATGTTAATAATAATACATGTTATTAATAATAACATGTACTATTATTATTTATAACATATATGTTATTAAATACCACTGCCTCAACCGCTGAATTATTGTGAAATGTTTGGAAGAGCACGGAGACTAATGTTCACTCCAGCATAAACAAAGTCACACTGACGATGTGTCAACCACTCCCTCGTATTTTTTAACAATTTCCTTCTTCAATTATATCGTATTTATTATTATTATTATTATTATTATTATTATTATTATTATTATTATTATTATTATTACTATTGTTATTATTAGCAATAGCAGAAATGTTCGATTCTTTGCTGTGTTCAAGAGTAAACACATGATGTCACCGTCTAATACCTTTCCTAATAGCCATTCCAATATGCAGTCATGAATGGGTTTACATTATTTATTCTGTAGTTTAATAGCAAATAATGAACAAACAAAACACTCACCACACTGAGTGGTGGGAGGGCTGGCTGCCAGTTGTGGGGGTCGGAGGGAGGGTAATAGGGACTCGCAGTGGTGGAGGCAGTGGTGGAGTCTGTGGTATTTAATAACATACATGTTATTAACATACATGTTATTAAATAACATACGTTATTAAAGCATAACATGTATATATGTAGTACAATTTACGACGTTTTCATGTATTTTATGATTATTCATGGTTCAACAAGTTAAGGAAGCAGTATTGTAATATATTTCCCTACAATATACTGGGGCACCAAACATTCACGGTTTTTCAACATTTGCGAGGCTCTTGATCCCCTAACCCTCGCGAATGTTGAGGGAGACCTGTATAGAACACTACACTCAAATATAAACCCTCCACACAAACTTTTCCTTACCAACCCTAACAGGACACATGACCATAACACAAGAAGTTCCCCCAAACTTTTCCTTACCAACCCTAACAGGACACACGACCATAACACAAGAAGTTCCCCGTATACATTTCAGACTATGTAAAAACTCAATGCACATAAAGAGCCCAAAAATTTGGAATTCATTACCAGTGAATACCAAAGGAACCTTGTCAGTACATCAATTCAAGACTCTTCTTAAAAACCACCTACTCACCCAAAACTAAATACTCAGTACTTAACTTTACCTACAAAGCTAACAAATCTCCTCTCCACTGCCTTAAAATATCATTGCTCACTGTGTTATTCCCCTAGCCTCAGAACCCCATAAATAAATGCTCTAAGTACAATAAATTCTCATAGTTTAACCTAATGCAAATGTTGAATAACAAATATTTAATAGATGTATAACCTAGTGCATAATTAGTGCAACCTTATCAAACTATGTTTTGTACGTCTAGGGTTAAGTAATCAGTAATGCATTAAGTTTAGACTGCCCGTAATGCCAAGGCATGATAGTGGCTCTCTTTGCACTACAAATCATTGTAAACCCTCACTGTAAACTACCTATGTAAATATACTTCCTAAAATATTCAACCACATTGTAAACTTGCAAGGAAATAAATAGTTATACCAATGCTCTTGTATGGGTGTGAGGCATGGGTTGTAAATGTTGCAACAAGGAGAAGGCTGGAGGCAGTGGAGATGTCATGTCTGAGGGCAATGTGTGGTGTGAATAAAATACAGAGAATCCAGAGTTTGGAGATTACAAGGAGGTGTGGGATTACCAAAACTATTATCCAGAGGGCTGAGAAGGGGTTATTCAGATGGTTTGGGTATGTAGAGAGGGTGCAATGACTTCGAGAGTGTATAAATCTGTGGTGGAGGGAAAGCGGGGTAGGTGTCGGCCTAGGAACGGTTGGAGGGAGGGGGTAAAAGGGGTTTTGTGTGCACGAGACTTGGACTTCCAGCAGGCGTGCGCAAGCGTGTTAGATAGAAAAGAATGGAGACAAATGGCTTTTAGGACTTGACGTGATGTTGGAGTGTAAGCATGGTAACATTTAAAAAGGGAGTCAGGGAAACCGGCAAGCCAGACTTGATTCCTGGAGATGGGAAGTACAGTGCCGGCACTCTGAAGGAGGGGTGTTAATGTTGCAGTTTTATAACTGTAGTGTCAGCATGCCTCTGGCAAGACAGTGATGGAGTGAATGATGATGAAAGTTTTTCTTTTTTGGGCCACCCTGCCTTGGAGGGAAACACCTGATGTATTAATAAAAAAATAAGAATTAGATATACATGTATACTATTACGTAGGATTTCTCATAAGGTATGTAGTTAAGTACAATCGTGTGTACAACAACAAAGGTAGCTAACGAACAAATGGTACAATTTTAAAAAAAGGCTCTGGACAGGCACCTGAAGTCAGTTCCTGATCAGCCAGGTTATGGTTTGTATGTTGGTTTATGTGCAGCCAACAGTAACAGCCTGGTTCATCAGGTCCTGATCCACCATGAGGCCTGGTCACAGACCAGCCCACAGGGTTGTTGACCCCCGAAACCCTCTCCAGGTATACTATGACTACTTCTGCTAATACTAATACATATTACAAACTGTTACTGCTATTACTACATCTACTACTACAAGTACTACTACTACGAATTGTCATAATGGTGACTGACACCTGTAATAATAATTAAAATAAAAATAAAAAAAATCATAATTGACCTGCAGTAGTGGTGGTTGTCAACACATTGTCATGCAACAGCAGCAACAGCAATAGTGGAGTGAGTATAGGGTAGCAGCTATGGTGACTCATTGCTTTACCCTCATGCAACCCCTTCATGCAACACCAGCAAGCCTGAAACAACACATACATAAGTAGTCATTATTGTAGCAGAGACATGTTTGTTATTACTCTAATGGATTTTTTGACTGATAATGTATCATAATTCCCTTTATCTGGTTTATCTCATGTTTCTGAGTAGTACTTGATACATGCTGGCCTACTTAACGGTCAGTCTGCCTGTTCTTAGCTTTTAGAACAATGTTAGTTTACTCCTGGGCATGAGTGAAATGTTGGGCATGTATGTTTCCTTACACCTGATGCACCTGTTCCCCTAGCAGTATGTAGGTACTTCGGTGTTAGCTGACTATTATGGGTCGTATCTTGGGGGACGAGATTAAAGGGACCAATGGAAATAAAGACAGACAGTCCAATAAGAGTTATCTTGGGTGACTAACCTCCTGAGTTAAAAATAAAAAAATTGTTTGTTTGTTTTTAGAATTTAGTATAATTTAAGCCTGTTTGTTGTAAGCACTTTGTACAATTAGTGTACTCTTAGCTTCTTGTACAATGTTAGTCTGTTCTTACCTTCTCGTACAATGTCAGCCTGTTTATTCTTTAACTCTAGTAAAACGTTAATCTGTTCTTTGCTTCTTGTACAATATTAGTCTGTTTAGTCTTCACTTCTAGTACAATTGACAGGATTAAAAAACAACAAAAAATGCAAAGGTTACCACAGTGGGTCCTTGTGACCATGGCTGCCTCTTGCTGTGGAAGGTAAGACAGATGGCGTGAGACAGACCTCTGTCTCACCTTGTCTGCCTCACCTTGTCTGTCTCACCCCTAATAATAATGATACTGTAATAATTATACAGTACGTGTATAATCATTTTATCATAAAACTTTAATAAAATTATTACATTATTATTATTATTATTAATATTATGGGGAAGCAATAAATCCTTTGGAGTCATACAATGCCTGGGGAATGGGAGGCAAACATGTTTGATCTGAGGAAGAGGAAGGCTGGCTCAGTACCTTGGATCAAGGACCCATCATACCCTGACTTTGCTTATTGCAAATAATTCATAACCACTTAAGCCTGTTTAAATTAAACTATATCTTGCTCAGACACAGGACAATATAAATCTAAACCACATACAGTTACACTGAAATGTGTCATTAATTCATGTTTGCATAATAGCTCATTATAACTAACCTGATACATATGAATAAACATATATATAATTCATTATCATTGTAACTTTGCCCAAAATGCTCTGCATATAAAGGGTCTTTTGGCATGTTCACCAAATTGTTACACTCCTTTGTACAAACATGTATCATGCTATGCTATCACGGCTAAAATAAATTTGTCATTGTCAACTATCACAAGTTTGGGGCCCAATCCCTGGACCTATTATGTAGTACCTCTGTAATCTTTTGACTACCTCCCACACACGGCAAGATTAATGCCCTGTGCTGGCTGCAGACCAGGGGCCTCTGCCAGCTGGAGGTCCTCTAGAGGTTAAGTGAAAAGTGTTCACAGTTATTGCCATGAGTTTATAATTATAGTGTTATTACATCACATATATGATGAACTACTGACTCTTCAATGAATGCTTCTAACTTTTTTCTTTTAATTTTGAAAATATCACTGGGGGCCTCACAGTACCTATAGCCCATGGGCCTACAAAATCTTAATCAGGCTCTGCTCCCACACTATGGGAGTGGGGGAGGGGGCACATAATAAAGCTATTTTAATGGCTTAGGTGAATTTAATCAGATAAACAAAAAAATTCACAAATAGTCTCATTTAGAGTTCACACAAAATAGTTTAGTCTGGTGTTAACTCACTAGTCTGCTGTTAATGCAGTTGCCCAGTATTAACTCACTAGTCTAGACTGAAGTTCCTCTATAGACAAGCACAGTGTCTACCTACTGAGGCTCGCAGGACCCTATGTCTAACCCTTATACAGTGTCATATGGATTATGCTGGCTCTTCATGGTACTCTGCCTTGATAAAAAAAAACTGAAAGATAGACTGCAAATCACCCAGAACAAAATAGTAAGATTCATCCTGGGCCTAGGTCCAAGAGAGCATGTAGGCCAGAATGAATTACAGCAGTTGGATATGCTGAATGTTGAAGACAGAGAAAAACTACTGAAGCTAAATCATGTTTAAAAAATTGCTCACAGTGTCCAGAATATCTTGCTCACAAATATGCTGCTATGTATGATAATCTATGTAACTGTATTTGTGGATACCTGAATAAACTTACTTACTAACTCATGAGTCCAGCATTAACTCACTAGTCTATACCTGGAGAGGGTTTTGGGGATCAACGCCCCCCATGGCTCAGTCAGTGACCAGGCCTCTTGGTGGATCAGGGTCTGATCAACCAGGCTGTTACTGCTGGCCACATGCAGGCCAATGTACTAACCACAGCCCGGCTGATCAGGTACTGAATTTAGGCACCTGTTCAGTGCCTTTTTGAAGACAGACAGGGGTCTATTGGTAATCCCCTTTATGTATGCTGGGAGGCAGCTGAACAGTCTTGGGACCCTGATACTTATTGTGTTGTCTCTGAGGGAGGATGTTGCATCTCCTGCCCAGTCTATTGCTTTTGTAGGAAGTGGTTTTTTGTGTGAAGATTTGGGACTAGCCCCTCAAGGATTTTTCAAGTGCATATTATCATGTATCTTTCTCGCCTGCAATCCAGGGAATGCAAAGCAAGGGACTTCAACTGTTCCCAGTAGTTTAGGTATTTTATCGTATTTATGCGTGCCATGAAAGTTCTCTGTACATTCTCCAGGTCTGCAATTTCACCTGCTTTGAAAGGGGCCATTAGTGTACAGCAATATTCCAGCCTAGAGAGAAGAAATTATTTGAAGATAACCATCATGGGCTTGGCATCCCTAGTTTTGAAGGTTCACATTATCCATCCTATCATATTCTTAGGAGATATAAACACTGTGATCCTTGAAAGCGAGATCCTCTGACATTATCACTCCCAGGTCCTTCACATTAGTTTTTTGCTCTATTGTGTGGCTGGAATTTGTTTTATACTCTGATACAGTTTTAATTTCCTAAAGTTTTCCACATCAGAATAACTGAAATTTCTCTTCTTTGAACTTCTTAGAACCCTTTCAAAGATCCTTAGGCCACAATGCCCCATGGCCTGGTGGCTAAAGCTCTTGCATCACACAGCGAGGGTCTGGATTAGATTCCCAGCAAAGGCAGAAAGACTGGGCATGTTTCTTTACACGGGTTGTCTATGTTCACCCATCAGTATAATAGGTACCAGTCGACTAGTTAGTCGACTGATGTGGATCGCATCCTGGGACAAAACTGACCTAATTTGCCTGAAATGCTCTGCCACACAAAAGAGTGAAAAACTAACGTCAAAGACCTGGGAGTGATCATGTCGTAGGATCTCACCTTCAAGGACCATAACATTGTATCAATCGCATCTGCTAGAAAAATGACAGGATGGATAATGAGAACCTTCAAAACTAGGGATGCCAACCCCATGATGACACTCTTCAGGTCGCTTGTTGTATCTAGGCTGGAATATTGCTGCACATTAACAGCACCTTTCAAGGCAGGTGAAATTGCTGACCTAGAAAATGTACAGATAACCTTCACGGCACGCATAACTGAGATAAAACACCTCAATTACTGGAAGTGCTTGAAGTTCCTGAACCTGTACTCCCTGGAATGCTGGCAGGAGAGATACATGATTATATACACCTGGAAAATCCTAGAGGGACTAGTACCAAACTTGCACATGAAAATCATTCTCTCTGAAAGCAAAAGACTCGGCAGACGATGCAACACCCCCCCAATGAAAAGCAGGGGTGTCACTAGCTCGCTATGAGACAACACAATAAGTGTCAGGGGCCAAAGACTGTTCAACTGCCTCCCAGCATGCATAAGGGGGATTACCAATAGACCCCTGGCTGTCTTCAAGCAGGCACTGGACAAGCACCTAAAGTCGGTACCTGACCAGCCGGGCTATGGCTCGTATGCTGGATTGCGTGCAGCCAGCAGTAACAGCCTGGTTGATCAGGCCCTGATCCACCATGAGGCCTGGTCACAGACCGGGCCGCAGGGGCGTTGACCCCCGGAACTCTCTCCAGGTAAACTCCAGGTAATAACAAGAGGCTGTCTATACAGTAGTATGTCACTGAGGTCAGCTAGGGCTGTATACCATGTACATGTACTTTCAGTAAATAAAGATATTATTATATTAGTGCTATCACTTAGGTAGTAGGTTGGTAGACTGCAACCGCCCAGGGAGGTACAACTGTCCTGCCGAGTGAATGTAAAATGAAAGCCTGTAATTGTTTTACGTGATGGTAGGATTGCTGGTGTCTTTTTTCTGTCTCATAATTGTGCAAGATTTCAGGTACTTCTTGCTACTTCTACTTACACTTAGGTCACACTGCACATGCATGCACAAGGATATATATACACACCACTCTCGGTTTTCTTCTATTTTCTTACTACAGGTCTCCCTCAACATTCACGTTTTCAACTTTCACGGGCTTCACACATTCGCAAATTCCCAGCCGCCAAATTCCCAGCCGCCAAATTCCCAGCCGCCAAATCATATTTAAGTTTCCCGCCACCTGCGAGTCCCTACTACCCTCCCTCCGACCCCGGCAACTGGCAGCCAGCCCTCCCACCACTCAGTGTGGTGAGTTTTTGTTTGTTCATTATTTGCTATTAAACTACAGTATAAATAATGTAAACCCATTCATGACTGCATATTGGAATGGCTATTAGGAAAGGTATTAGACGGTGACATCATGTGTTTACTCTTGAACACTGCAAAGAATTAAACATTTCTGCTACAGCTAATAATAACAATAGTAATAATAATAATAATAATAATAATAATAATAATAATAATAATAATAATAATAATAATAAATATATATAATTGAAGAAGGAAATTGTACAAAAATACGAGGGAGTTGTTGACACATCGTCAGTGTGACTTTGTTTTATGCTGGATGAACATTAGTCTCCTGCTCTTCCAACATTTCACAATAATTCATTGTGTTTGGTGCTTTAGATTGAGTGTGACT